GTATAAAGAAATAATGATCATTTAAACTCATTAGGTTAGAATTCTATGAAGTTGCAAATAAAGATTAAGATAAATAAATGAGAAAGGTCATAAGTATTTTTTTCTGAATTATCTTCCTTCAGTCTTTTATGTCTTTCTTGAGTTTTCCTATGAAAACTATATAAAGCATAGTCTATTTTATCTATTACCTGACACAATTCCATGTGTTCTTGCTTTTTTTTCCGAAGGAAACATTCAATTGCTCTGACTATGGAAACGGGTCTTGCCCGGAGAACAAACGGCTGCTGGGCGTCCGAGCTGCCATGTATTCATTCATGGTGGGAGCCATATGCATCACGGTGTTTGGCAATCTCGCCATGATCATTTCCATTTCCTACTTCAAGCAGCTTCACACACCAACCAACTTCCTCATCCTCTCCATGGCAGTCACTGATTTCCTCCTGGGATTCACCATCATGCCATATAGTATGATCAGATCGGTGGAGAATTGCTGGTATTTTGGGCTTACATTTTGCAAGATCCATTATAGCTTTGATCTGATGCTTAGCATAACCTCCATTTTCCATCTTTGTTCAGTGGCCATTGATAGATTTTATGCTATCTGTTACCCTTTACATTATTCCACCAAAATGACGATTCCAGTCATTAAACGGTTGCTACTTCTCTGCTGGTCAGTCCCAGGAGCATTTGCATTCGGGGTGGTCTTCTCGGAGGCCTACGCTGATGGAATAGAGGGTTATGATATTTTGGTCGCTTGTTCCAGTTCCTGCCCAGTGATGTTCAACAAGCTATGGGGGACCACCTTGTTTATGGCAGGTTTCTTCACTCCTGGGTCTGTGATGGTGGGGATATATGGCAAAATTTTTGCAGTATCCAGAAAACATGCTTGTGCAATCAATACTGTACCAGAAAATCAAAATAATCAAATGAAGAAAGACAGAAAAGCAGCCAAAACTTTAGGAATAGTGATGGGTGTTTTCTTATTATGTTGGTTTCCCTGTTTCTTCACAATTTTATTGGATCCCTTTTTGAACTTCTCTACTCCTGGAGTTTTGTTTGATGCTTTGACATGGTTTGGCTATTTTAATTCCACATGTAATCCCTTAATATATGGTTTCTTCTATCCCTGGTTTCGCAGAGCGCTTAATTACATTTT